TCCCTGGGCCCCCAGGGCACTGCTCATGGCTAATCCAGTCAAGAGTTGGCCATGGTGCATACCTTTGTGATGAGCCCACTGGGGCCAAGGTCAGATGGCCAAGGAACAAAGTTTCATGGAAGTCCCCAGTCCTCAGCAAACTGTGGCCCCTAAACAGCTAATGGCCAGGTAAGGTGATGGTCCTTTCTCTGTGGTTTGTGTCTGTTGGTTCCCAGCCCAGAGCCCTGAGGGCCCAGGCCTGGGAATGAGGACACCTGAGTGCCAGGCAAATGCTGCCAGTGTCACTGGCGATCCTTGCTCACTGGCCAGCCCCTCTTGGGTCCTCCATCAGTAAAAAGGTGGGCGCTTTACTAGAAAGTTCTCCCACACAGCAAGTCCTGTCCTCTGCACTGGGAGTACTTAGGGAGCCAAACCCAGGGAGGCCCAGACCACTCTGCTTTCCAGCTCCCTCCCAGGTCCCAAGCCAGCCTGTCCCACCATGCCTTGGACCTGCCTCCTTAGGGTGCACCAGGCCCCTGTCCCCACCACACTCTTCCACATTGCTGATGATTGCCTGGGAAACAAAAGCCACAGAGAGCACCCCGCTCTCAGCAGCTGCCCCCACCGCCGCTCCTGGCTGCCTCATCTCCACTCTCACCCCTCTCTCTCTCCATCTGCCTCCAGCCCCTTCAGTCCCTGCTCCCCTCCCACAACTGCTTTCTCTCTTGGCTCCTTGGCCCCACCTGGTCACCAGGCCCCTTCTCTCCCAGGCCTCTAGGCCATGCCGCCTCCTTGAGCAGGTCCCTCCTGCCACTGTTGGGACAGCAACGCCTTGGCCAGCTCTGAAGTGAGGGCCCCTTTGGCTGGGCCCGGGCCCCCCATCCCGTCTTCTCATGCCCACTGTCTCCCTGGCTGAGGTCCCAGCCCCTTCCCCAAGTCCTCAGGGACCAAGCCCACATCCACTTGCAGCCCAGGGGCAGGCTAAAAATGCCCCCACGGAGGTGTCCTTGTCCCAACCCCTGGAACCGGAATGCAACCTTATTCGCAAATAGGGTCTTTGCTGATGTGATCAAGTGAAGAATCTTGAGATGTGGGGTTATCCTGGGTTATCCAGGCAAGCCCTGCATGCAGTGACAAGTGTCCTTATAAGGGGGAGATTACACACACACACTCACACACGCACACACATGCTCCCACCCACACCCATGCACAGAGACACACATACACACACAGAAACACACACATACACACACATGCACACATATGCACCCACACCCCCCAAAATACACATACACACACAGTCACACACAGACACACACATATGCACACACTCATACACATGCATACACAAGACAGACATACAGACACAGAAACACATACACACACATTGCACACATAAACACACATGCAGACACCCCACACATACACACAGTCACACACACAAACATACACACAAACATGCTCACACGCACGCACACACATATGCACACTCATGCACACACACTCACGTGCACCCCCCCACAAGAAGCCATGTGATTGCAGTGGCAAAGTGGAGTGAGGTGGCCACAAGCCCAGGACACTTGGAGCCTTCCGGAGCTGGGAGAGGCAGGAAGAAGCCTTTCCTAGAGCTTCTCGGGGGAGTGTGGCCCTGAGACACCTGGATTTCGGACTTCTGGCCTCCAGGACTGGGAGAGGGTCTATGTCCTCTGTGGTGAGCCACCCGGTTTGTGGTTATTCATGACAGTGGCCTCGGGCCACTCATCCAAGTCCCAGCTGGGCCACCGAGGAGCTCCAGCTTGGCAGAGCCCTGCCCACAGCACAACACAGGCTTCTTGGGCTGCTTGGCTTGAGTACATCCATGCCTGGTGGTTCTGGAAAGCTCTGACTGGCAATGCAGAGTGTGTGTGTGTGTTAGTGTGTGTGAGAGTGTGTGAGTGTGAGTGTGTGTGACTGTGTGTGTGCAAGTGTGAGTGTGAGTTTGTGTGTGATTGACAGTGTGTGAGAGTGTGTGGGTGTGAGTGCGTGAGTGTGTGTGTGAGTTTGTGAGTATGTGTCAGTGTGATTGAGAGTGTGTGAGTGTGTGTGAGTGTGTGTGGGTGTGTGTGTGAGTCTGTGAGTGTGAGTTTGTGTGTGTGTGTCCCTTGTGTGAGAGTGTGTGTGTGACCGTGTGAGTGTGTCAGTGTGTGTGTAAGAGAGACAGATGGTTCTTTGGGCATGACTCCTGCCAGTGCAGCTCCAGCATAGTCCCCTGGGATCTCTTGCCTGGGCCCTGGCTGCCCCTGTGCAGGGCCTTTCAGCACCCAGGCTGCCCAGGGTTCTCCAGGGCACCAAAGAGGCTGTGCCCTCCCAGAAGCTGAGGGAGACAAGGTCTCTCTGCTGGTGATGTTGCCCTGCCCTGGCTGTCCAGAGTGGCAGGCAGGGGCTTGGCCTCTTCCTGTGGTCCCTGCCTCCTGAGACTAGAGCTGGAGCCTGTGGGAGCAGAGCCTGGAGACCAGGCCACTGCCAGCTCCTCAGGGCAGCCCCTCTGACTTGGCTCCCAGGCCTGCCACCTGCCCCTGCAGCCCTCCAAGGAGGGGTCGTGTCCCTCAGGGGTCCTGCCTGCATTGTGGGCCCAGCCTGCCAAGGTCTGGCTCGCCGTCCCTTTGGCAAGCCCAGACTCGTCTAAACCCTAGCAGTGGATTCGGCTTAGGCTCCCGCTGGGCCCTGCTGTGCCCAGAAGGCACCTGACCTGCAGCAAATGCTGGGAAACGGCCCCAAGGAAGCGGTTTTGTGACCTTCATTGCTGTGCGTGTTTGTATGCACATGTGTTTGTGTGGCATGTTTGTGTTTCTGTGTGCTTGTGTTTGTGTGTTCAAGTGTGCATGTGTGCGTGCGTGTTTGTGTATGCATTTGTGTGCGTGTGCACGTGTGTTTGTGTGTGTGCATGCATACGTGTGTAAGCCCACGCCTGCTGCCTTCCAACAGCTCCGGGATGCTTCTGGCCCTCAGTCGGGGGTCCTCAGGGCCCTCTTCCCCTCTCCAGGCCAGGGAGCATCACAAGCAACCCCGTCCTCACATTACACCCAATCTGTCCCTAAGTTCAGGGGATCTCACTCAAGCAAAGATAGGCTGGAACCTGCAGCCCACCTGTTGTCCACCCTGGGCCTTCCTGTGCCACAGCTGGGGCCCTGAGCACAGTCCTACTTTCCAAGCCACTTGCAAATAAATGTGGGGGATTGGCAGCTTGCAGGGAGAACCTTACCAGCACAAGTGATCCTCCCACCTCAGTCCCCTGAGTAGTTGGGACCACCGGCGTGTGCCCCAATGCTTAGCTAATTTTTTAGTTTTTTGTTTTTTAGAGACGGGGTCTCACTATGTTGCCCAGGCTGGTCTTGGACTCCTGGCCTCAAGCAGTCTTCCTACCTTGGCCTCCCAAGGTGCTGAGATGACAGCCGTGACCCACCATGCCCAGCCATTTTCTTTTTTAGTCCAAATCAATCTCACCTTGGCTAGTATTATTTAACAGTTTTTACCACACTTGGCGGTGGAGTGAGGCTACGCCATTCATCTTCACACTGTGGTCAGGACCAACTGCTTTGAGGATGGAGCTCACCTTCCACCATGACCCAGAAGCCCTTGCAGGCTGTGACCCTGTCCAGCTCTGGGCTCCTGCCTGGGGGACTTGGCACCCCGTCCGGGCAGAGTGTGTGCTGCCTGCAGGGCACCCCCTGCTGTGTGGACTAAGCACGCAGCCCGCAGGATGCCTTCCTCTGCACTGACCACCTATATCACACTCATCCCGCTAGCTTGTCCTCCACCCACACTGCATCCCCGAGCTGGGACATGCAGAGGACGGGTGTGATGAAGATGTATGAAATGAGAGGGAGACAGAGAGGAAAGGAAGCACAGGAGGGATGGGAGGGAGGCAGGAAGAGTGGACAGAGATTCACGGGGGCTGTGTTGGACCCACTGAACACGGAGCCAGTGCCCCAAGACGCACTCACAGATGAATGGGCGGAAGCCCCATCTTTCCATCTCTGCCAGGCCGCGGTGCTGGCTGCCCCTCCTCCCAGCCAGTGAGGGGACTTGCCCGAAGCCTTGACTCCTGGCCTCTGGCCAGTTCCCTTGCACCACGCCTGCCCAACTCAGCAGACATTGCCAGGCCGTGGAGCACATGGCCCAGAATAGCGCTATGATGCTGATGGTGACATTCTATCACTGGGCCACCACACTGCGTGGCACCTCCTATCCCAGGAAGGAGAAACCTGGGAACGCCAGTGCCCCAGTGCCAGTCCAGGCTTAAAGACACAGTTATGTGTGAGGAGCCAACACACAGTGCCAGGCTGTGACTCATGTGGGCCCTGCCCACTCTATTGCTGTTGGGAGCCTGGAGCTGCCCAGGGAAGCCCCAGTTTCCGCCACCTGCTCTGAGGCTCTTCGTGCAGGACCGAAGGAAAGTCACAGGTGGTAGTGTTGCTCTGGAGACTGTCCCCCTCCAAGCTGTCCTTTCCGGGACGACCTGTGTCCCCAGCATGCAGCTGACCTGGATCCTCTCTCTGGAGCCGGTGCCAGTGGCTTGCAGCCCGAGCTTGGCTCTCCTGGCACACAGTGTGACTTGCTAGGGGGCTGGCTGGGGAGCCAAGGCCAGGCCAATGCAAGTGGGTGCACACAGCACCCTGCCCTGGCTCCATGGGGCCCTGTCCCTCCTGTGTCCCCTTGGGTGTTGGTGGTGCCTCGTTGTGAACCCTAGACTCCATGGAGCTGGGCAGGCCGGGTCCCGCTTAGATTTCCAGGCTCTAGCCTGGTGCCTGCAGTCGGTGTGCTCTTGGCAAACGCTCCACGCTGAGAGGGCAGGTGCCATTCAGGCCTGTTTGGATTCTGGAGCCCCGTCTCAGGACAGCTGGGACCATGAGTGTCTAGGAGGGAGGGGAAAGGGGCTAGCCCAGACCTGAGGATGACGGGGCCCCTCTTCTGAGGGTGAGGAGCCCAAGGGCCAGGAGGGGCATGGAGAGGCCAGGCCGCCACAGGAGCAGCGCACGGAGCCGTGTTGCACAGTGTTTCTTTAATGGAAAGACAGCCACCGACCTCAGAAGCAGCCCCTCCTTGCGCTGAACCAGAAGGAAAGGGGAGACCTAGCCGCCAGTGGCGGTGAGGGGGTTCCATGAAAACCGGTGTCTGGGACTCTGGCGGAATGTGGGGCCTCTCCTCTCTTTGGGGCAGAAGGGCCAGGGCCTGACAGGCCTAAGGCTCCCCTCTTTGATGGTGTCATCTGGGCAGGATGCTGGGCCTCCAACTTCCAGCCTCCTCTGGGACTGTACAGGTTTGGGGGCAAGGCCTGAGCAGGGCAGGCTGAGGAGGCCGCTGTCCCTGGGGTTTCGTGGGCAGGGGCTGGGTGCAGGCTGGACAGACAGAAAGCAGACCCAGCTCAAGGCAGAAGGCCAGAGGGTGTGGAGAGAAAGGGACAGGCAAAGCCAGGTTTGGAGAGATGGAGGGGACAGGCCACCAAGCTCAGAAGCGAGAAATGTCTGAGGAAGCACAAGACACACACACACACACACACACACAGAGAGAGAGAGAGAGAGAGAGAGAGAGAGAGAGAGAGAGAGAGAAAGAGAGAGATTGAGAGGAGAAGGAAGGGGAAAGAGAGAACAGAAGGGAGGACTGGTCGAAGGGCCAGTGGAGCAGGGGGGCTGGGAGGGACAGGCCACGAACTTGCAAGGGAGCTGAGGGGAGCTGCGGCAGTGGGGAGAGTTGAAAGGCTGGAAATGCATGAGGAGGAGGAACAGAACATGCCTGTCTGGACAGGTGCAGCAGCCCTGGCAGAGTTCACTGTCCCCATTCTTATGGAACACCTCCTGGCTGCTGACCCAGGAACCATTCTCCTAGGACTGGAGCCTTGGACACTTGAGTTTGGGAGTGAATGAGAAAAAAGCTTCATGGGGTGCCTCTGGGTGGCTGTGGTGGGAGAGCAGGGGCAGCTCTGAGGCGGAGGGAGCATGTGATAGAGGCCAGACCTTGCGCCCACCTGCACCCTTGGGAGCCAGGGAGAGGCCGTGATGGGGCGGCGAGCTGGGGTCGGGGACCTGAGGTGGGGGGCTGGGTTGGACGCAGCTGGGTCCTGGCTTAGCTTCCTGGCTCTGCCTCCCCATCAGGATGTCTGGCTGTGCTCCCCAGAGACCCCCACCGAGGCCCCACGGTGGCTGCAGCTGCCTCTACTTTTTGTAGTTGCCAAACTGGATGGCCAGGCGGTCAGTGACGCAGCGGAAAGTGGCCGGCTGCACCTCCCAGTAGGGCACGGGGTTGTTGAAGAGGCTGATGCCATTGTAGTAGGCCCGCTTCACCCCGAAGCCCACGGGACAGAAGTCGTTGACACCCACTTTGGTGATGTTGTTGGAGTGCAGATAGACCACCTGAAGGTAGAGGGGCTGCGTCACTGCAGGCCTCCCTCCCTCCATGCCAAGCCCACTGCCCCCAGGAGGCATTTTGCTGTTACCTCTGCACCCTACTTCAAGGGCCACACCAGAGGCTCCCTGTTGTTGGGAGGAGCAAACCAAGGCATGGGCGTGTTCTTTGTGTGGGTGTCAGCCAGGATTAAGGCACTGGATGTGACCAGGGACCAGGATGAGGGTCTCAGGTGGGGCAGGTTGAGGATATGTGGGGGTGGGGCTGGGGTAGGGGTGTGTTTGGTGGTGTGAAGTGAAGGAAAGGTGGCCTGACCCTCGGGGGAGCACCCTCACACTCCATGGGGCACGAGAGGAGAAAGAGCCCTTGGGGTGCCCTCCTCTTTCTTCCAGTCATCAGAGGAGCTCGCCCTCTAGCAGCCCCTCCAACTCTCTGGAGCCACTGTCTTGCTGTCTTGGAGAGGAGCAGAGGAGGGCAGGCAAGGCGCCTGCTGGGTTGGGCTGGGAGCCCAGTGCTAGTGAACATGACAATGGCCACTAGAGGGCGCTCTCAGCCCATCATGGGCATGGCCTTCGTGGTGCTGGCTCACAGCTGGTGCGGATGGGGGTGCTCCAAACAAGTGTGGATGGAGCAGGGCTGGGCAAGACCAAGATCACCACCCATCTGGTTGGGAGCCAGGCCAGTGATGGAAGCTCCCGACAGAATCCCAGGCAAGACCGTGCTCCCCCTCTTCAGCCTACTTCCTGTCCTGGGCTGTCGCTGTCTTGGCACGGATCAGTACACCCCCACACCCCCAGTTTCTTGACTCCCTGGACTCTGCCACATCTTTCTGGTGTCCGACCCACCTGGAGACCCTCAGGTCCAAGATCTACCGGGCTGCCTTGCTCTGTATCTACCATGGAGCCCCTGCTCCCTGCCTCCTCAGCACCAGCTGGGAGCATCAAGACCGCTCCCTTGCAGATGCCCAGAGTTGGCCGGGAAGGAAGGCCAAGGGGCTGAGGGACTGCTTGGGGACATGCACACCTCCCCCAGCCCAGCCTTAGGGAACCTGGCTATGCACGCCCAGCTCTCACCTGGAGGAGCTTGAGGTCTGGGAGCCCCGAGGGCACCCTGGCCAGCTTGTTGTTGTCCAAGTGGAGCTCCCGGAGGGTTGGCAGGAAGCTCAGGCTCCCGTTCTCGATCATTCGGATCTGGTTGTGGCCCAGGCCCAGCCTGTGAGTGGGAGAATGACAGGGACTCAAAGGCTGGAGAGAAGGATGGTGGGCTGGGCGCGAGGGGCCACACAGCACTGAGGGACTCTGGCATTACCCTCGGGCAGTGCCGGGCTGGCCTCACCTGTACAGCTTGGAGTAGCGGAGCAGGTCCTCCAGTTCGATAGCCTGGATTTTGTTGTGGTCCAAGTGGAGTTCATTCAGGGTCTCAGGGAGGTCTGCCAGGAGAAGAGGGCACAGGGGAGAATGCAGGTGCTGAGGGCAGGGGCCCTAGCTCTGCCCCAGGTGGTGGGAGGGGACTGTTGAGCCTTTCCCTGAGTCGACCGGGCCTATCCAGAGCCCCCACCCTGGCCATCTGTGCCGTTGGGGGTGAGGTAGGCAGGCGTGCAGGAAGAGTGGGCTTCCTACCTTTGGGGATGCCAGTCAACTTGGCCTCTGAGATACGCAGGTAGTTGAGCTTCAGGCCATCGAAGGCTCCAGGTTCAAAGCCACTGTTCTCCAGTGGGTTCCCGCCCATCTCTAGGTGAGAGACCTCATTAGCCCGGGAGCCTGGTGGTCCCTGCACAGCCCTGGGTCCTGTCATTTCCGGGCTAGTGTGGTGAGCCCTGCTAACTGCCGGCTGCTCCCATCTCCTGAAAGCAGTTCTGCTAATTTACCGGGCTATTTGTAAACTCTTAGCTGTTCAGCACTGCTAGTCCCAGGACTGCTAGCTCCCCAGGGGCAGCAAGAGGAAAGGGAGGAGGGCCAGAGATGCAGACAGGGCTCCCAGAAGCCACCCGGCCCCTGTGGCCCAGTCTTCTCTTTAGCCATGGTGATCACCTGCATAGAGGATTTGCCAAGAAATTCATGGATTATCTTTTGGCTGTTCTCACCATACTCTTTCTTGAACCGAGCCTCTAAAGGTGTCCCTTAGTCTCCCTTCCCCATGCCCCGAGACAAGGCTCTGAAATGTTCTGGGAGGCTTTCAGCTCACCGATGCAGTTCATGTTCCGGAGCCCACTGAACACGCCCTTGGGCACCTTGCGGATGCGGTTGTCGTGGATGCGGAGCTCCACCAGGGAACTGGGCAGGTTGGGCGGGATCTCCACCAGGTGGTTCTTGGAGATGTAGAGCTTCTGCAGCTTCCGTAGGGGGCTGAAGGCCTTCTCGTGGATCTTGGAGATCTTGTTGTTCACCAGGACGAGGGCCTGAAGCAGGGCGGAAGGAGGAGCTGAAGGCGCGGACTCCCTGCCCCACCCGCCCCTCCCTCCTGCCTTCCTGTGCCTCCCCAGTCCACTGGGCCTCGAGGAGGTCAGTCCGTGCTTGTGAGCAGAGTGCGGGGCAGGAGGCAGCACCCAGGCCCAGCCCTGAGCCTCAGCAGTGCCACCACTGCCTTGCCTCTCCAAGCCTCAGTTTCCTCACACACACGCTGGCTACAATGAAATCCGTTCTCCTCTGTCGCTGGGAGGAATGGATGTGATGAAACGTTTTCCGTCACGAAGGGAGCTCGAACCCACATGGGCGAGCTGCAAGCCCGGGAGCTCCCACCACGGCTGGCTCCAGGCTTCACCCTGAAGCCCACGGGTCCCCGAGCTCCTCTCATACCCACACGTCCATGCATATGCACCCACCCGAACCCCTGCCCCCTGCTGTAGGCCTGCTGGTTCCTCCCAGCTCCTTACGTAGAGGTGCTGGAGACCCTTGAAATCATCCTTGCGGAGCTCAGAGATGTCGTTGTTCTGCAGGTCCAGCAGAGTGGTGTCAGGCGAGATCTCTTTGGGCACAGACTTCAGACCTAGGGGCCCCACGACCACCAGCAACATGAACTTGGAGCCATCCAGCCGACTAGCCCCACCGCAGGGAGGCCCAGGGACACACACACGCGACACTGATGGGCACACGGGGATGCCACCACAAGTGGGTGCAAACTGCACAGCTTACAGCCAGATGGCTGAACCCCTCCTACACTCACATCATGCTAGCCACCAGCCCACAGGACCGGCATGTGCCTCCCTCAGACGGGGCTCTCAAGCTGCACCTGTGCCTCCTTGCATGCCCCACTCCCCATCACTCAGGGACAAACCCAGATCGGAGCACTGAACCACCCGCAGGTGGCAGTGGCAGCCAAAAGGACACATGGCGCTGTAGGTGGGTGTGACAGAGTCTGGGTCCAGGACGCCCGAGGTGTCGGCGCCCGAAGCTTCCTCATCATTCATCATGAACGGCCCATCGTCCAGGGTGAAGTCCCAGAAGCCCCTCTGCTCAAAGGGCAGGGCCTGGCTCAGGGCCAGCAGAGACGCGAGGAGCCACAGGGGCCACATGGCGGATGGGCCTGGGGGAAGAGGCAGGGGGATCCTCAGCACCAGTACCCGCCCATCTTCCCCATGCCAGGGGCTAGTGTCCCGTGTGTGCAGTGGCACTGCGTTCCCATCCCTCACCAGGGATGGCCAGACCCTGGGGCGGGAGGCGGAGAGGGTGGAGTGTGGGCAGAGGGCTCCAGGCAGGAAGGGAGTGGATGCTGCTGGCAAGGAGGGTGCCCCTTCCACTCCACTCCCCTCACCCCTTCCACTACCCCCTCCCCATCCCGGACAGGACTTGGCTTAATCAGGCGATGAAACGTCTCCTCATTAGCAAGTCTGCAGGCCCCCACACCTCTGAGTCTGCCAGAAGCCTGCTTTAGGGCAGGGGCATCCGTGAGGCTGCGTGGAGGAGGTGGAGGAGGAATCTTAACCATTGGCCCTCAAGGGCTTTGAAGAATTCACTTTTTGGGACGCCACTGTGGCCTCCTACCCGGGCCAATCCTTCCTTTGAGTTCTGGGCTCAGGGCAGCGTGGATGAAGTTAGTTGAGTTTGGCAACTCTGAGTTGCTTCCTACCTCCTGAGCCCCCCTTCCACCCTGCCCACGTTTCTCAGAGACCCTCTAAGGCCAAGGCAGAGAGGCAGGGTGGAGAAAGAGGGGGTGTCCTTTGAGGCCATGAGCAAAGTTGGCTGAGGCAGCACTGAGTGGAGACCCCAGAGGTGGAGGACATGACGCCCCAACACTGCCCCTGGGCCTTGGCTTCCTCCTCTGGACCACCCGCCCCAGCCCCCCTGCCCCACACACACACTGCCTTGGCTCAAACAGCCCTGGAGCTCCTAGATGTGCCCCTCCCTGCCCACAGCCTCGGCAGCTCAGAGAGGCCCCCCAGGGGAGCAGGCTGCCGCCAGGGTGGCAGGGCAGGGTCAGGCTTGCCTGAGGCCCCCCAAGCCGAGGCGGCGGGTGGGAGTGGAGGGGAAGCAGCCCTGCCCGAGCCTGCCGCCAGCACCCACCTCTGCTTGCCTCCTTCCTCCTCATCAGACACGGTCTCCCGTCCAGAGGCAGCCGGGAATGTGCCCTACAAGAAGAGGCTGGAGCCCTGCCTCTCCTACCACTCCATCCACCCTGACTACCTGGCAAAGGTCCAGGTCTCACCCCAGCCTCACCTTCCCCATCTGTTAAGTGGGAATGAACATGCCTGCCCTGCTCGCCACCCAGCCTGGGGTGGCCCTCGGTGCATCTAGAGACGGGGAGCCCAGCTGGGCAGCAAGGGCCTCTGGCAGACCTGAAGCAGTCGCACGCCCAGGAGACCCTCACTTAGGGCCAGTACTAGCTGGGGAGGGGCAGTCTGGGGCTCCAGCAGGGCGAGGTGAGCCCCCTAAGCCCAGCTGCTGGTTGCAGGGGTCTAAGGAGGCCGTGGGGAGGTGGGAGCTCTGCCCCCTAGGCCAGCACTCTCTGAGCAGCCCCGCCCTGCCCGATGCTTCCCCAGTTGACCTGGGGGCTGGGTTGGCTGCTGGGGGCTGCCGCTTTGGGGTCCTTGCTGCCAGCGGACTGGGGGCCTGAGGCCACTTCGGGGCCAGGTTGGGTCTGAGCACAAGCACTGTGCCTCCAGTTCCATCAATCCCAGGAGAGGGTTGGGATGGAGGCCTGTCCTGTCGCCCCCTTGCAGCTCCTTGGGCGCTCCAGGGAGCATCTGCTGGCATGCGTCCCCTCTGCACTGGCATCCCCTCTAGAAGCCGCCCATGCCCCCTCCCACACCCGTGGACAGAGGGGCCTGTGGTGAGGCTGTGGCTATAGCAGCTGCCAGGCCAGTGGAGTGGCCTTTCCGCAACTGGCCCCAGAGCCCTCCTGAGCCCATAGGCCCTGGGCCATACTGCAAAGTAGGAGTCAGAGCCCAAGGCTTAGTTCAGCTTCCCGCTCATGTGGAGCTGGACTTTATGCTGACCCCTGGGGTCACCAGGAGGCCCCTGCTGGGGCAGCACCCAGCCTCCCTCATTCTTTTAAGCCTTGAGACCCCACAATTGCAACCCAGGGCCTGCCAGCCCCAGGCCGGCCTGGCAGGACTTAGGGGAGCCCCCCGGAGGGTCTTGGCCCCCAAGTAGGGAGAAGGCTCAACACTCACCTACCTGGATGGCGTTTCCCTTCCTCCGGGACAGGGCAGGGCAGGGCCTCTGATGCCTGCTGCCACTGCGGGACCCTCTCCCAGTGCCACTGGACACCCGGGGGCAGGAGGAGGAGGAGGAGGAGGAGGAGGAGGAGCAGCAGCAGCAGCAGTGGGAGAGAACAGGAAGGGCAGGATGGAAGCAGGAGAGCAAGATGGAGTGGGGGAGGGAGGAGACTGCCCTGCCCCTCCCTACCGATGCCCCTGCCAAAGCCGCCACCTCCCAGGGAGAGTGAGTCAGGGCTGGAACACCCCACCAGAGCCCTGGAAAGCTCCGGGGTGGGCAGTCCACCTGGACAGGTGGGGTTGGTGTGGTCTGGCTGGGCCTAGGGGAGGCTGTGGGGAGGGGCTGGGGAAGGCTGAGGGGACAGAGGACCATCTGACTATGGCCAGCCTGGAGCCCTCAGGACCCACGCATTGGCCTGGAGGAGGACTCTACAGGGACTCCTGCCCCGGGGCCAGGGGTTTCCCCAGCAGCTGGGACTTCCCTGCAGGCACTCCTGTTAGGTAATCGGGCCCTCCACCAGGGGAGGGGGCACAGGCGCAGGGCAGTCAGTCATGGCAAGACTGGTCATCGGGGTCTCAGGTGGGTTCCCGGGACCAGCCGTGGGGCAACAAGGACTCTGAAGGCAGGCTGCCTGATATAGTAGGATGTCTGGGGGGTCTCCAAGAGACTGAAAAAGGGGCAAGGGGAAGAGGTTCCCTCGGAGCGGGGAGGGAGGTTGAGGGCTGGGAGGCCCATACACTCGGGCCCCGTGACAGAGGCAGAAGGACAAGGTTTGGCTGGTTTTCTATGGCTCATGGCTGTGCCCAAGCAGTGGGCAGGCTGGAGGAGTGGGGGCCGGGCAGGCTTCCCGGCACATCCCTCATTTCCCCTCAAAGAACTGGCACAAAACTGAGACCTCTCCCGAGGAAGGGACAGGCTCTGTGTCTGAGCCCACAGGAGGCGGCAAGGGGCCCATGAAGCCAGAGGGAGCCAGGGGAGCCTGGGGGGAAGGATCCCCTGGAGCTGGCACGATGAATATCCCCATTTTATGGACACAAAAGCTAAGGCCGAGAGAGAGGCTCTCACTTCCCCCAAATCACTCAGCCTGACTTGGAACTCAGCTTTGGCGCTTCTAGGCCCTGAGCTCTCAGCTGTGCTCCTCAGCCACAGGGGCTCCAGCCATGTCTCTGGGCCCATGAGAGCCTGAATGCCCGAGACTGGGGGTGGCAGTTTGGAGGTTCTGGAGATGGATGGGCTCAGCTGTTCTCCCAAAGCCTGGCCCCTGCCTTCTCCCCACCACCTCACACCGAGCCCCTCCCTCCCGCCAGAATATGCACACACACGTACACACATACACACACAAACATACACACAGATGCACACATACACATACACACTCGTATACACACACATGTGCACACACACATGCACACACCTACACAAAACACACATGTACACACATCCACACACATCCACATACAGGCACACATCCACACACATACATGCACAGACACATGCACACTCTTATACACACATGTACACACACATATAGACACACACATGCATACCCATGTATACACATTCACATACACATATGTATACACATATAAACACACATACACAGACTCACACATACACATACACTCATGCACACACCTATACACATACATGCACATGTACACACACATGCACACATACACACGTACACACATGCATACATGCACACGTACACACATGCACACATACACCCACATACACATACACATATGTAAACACATACATGCACACATCTATACACACATGCATACACATTCACATATACATATGTATGCATACACACATACATACACATATATCCACACAGAGGTAAGGCAGGTGAGGCCCCCAGCCCAGGAAGCAGGAATACCCCATAGTCAGATCCTGAGAGACCCACAGCAAGTCCCTCCAGTCCTCAACTCTCCACTACCACCACTGAAGCCTCTGGGCCTCAGTTTCCCTTCATTGGCCTCCCTGGATGTGTCCTCAGGGACTTCAGGGAGGGTTTCAAGCCCCATCAAAGTGTGCCCTGAGCTCCCTGGATGCCACCTCTTTAGAGCAAAGGACAGGAGCGGCAATGGCATGAGCCCCAGGTTGGGCGACCGCAGGTGTGAGTGAGGGAGGAGGCTGGGCTTCCTGGAGCCTCCGCCACCACCCCAATAGGGCCCTCCTTGTCTGCCCCTCTGAAAGCCAGCGCAGTCCTCTGCACTGGATTGCTCGAGGTCACAGCCAAACAAGATGCGTTGGCAGCCTCTGAGAGCATGGAGGGTCCGTGCCAGGCATTCAGGCCAGGCCAAGGGCGGCGGGAGCAGGGCTTGAGGTCTGGCGGGCCCTGGGAGCTCGCCTGCAGACGGTGTGGCTCACAGCTGCCAAGTGGCAGACGCCGGACGCTGTCTCCGCAGCCTCAGCTCTGGGCATCTGCCCCCCTGAGCAACCCGACCTGAACTCTGACACACGTGCCATCTTGCACGCAGCCCTGCAGGGTCCCCGGGACTGTGCCCTTCCTCCCTCCCCTCTGGCCGCCAAAGCCTTTTGGGCCCAGTTTCAATCAGCAGCCAGTTGCTTGTGCCCCGACTGACACCTGGCCTGCCCCCGCCACTCTCCCAGGCCCCAGTCCACCAGTCCCTCCCCACTGATGGCTCCAGCCTGCACTTGGGCATCAACCAGAGAGGGGATGTGTAACCTCCACGGCCTTGCCAAAGCCTGCTGTGTGCGTTCATCTGTGGGAATGGCTGCCTGAGGGGCTGGGGGCTGGAGTGGGGAGGGGTGGACCTTGTGCACCCCAGCCACATTCCAAGCCCCTGCCATTGCCCCAGCATGCCCTTCAGGCAGCCACGCTTGGGTGTCTGCTCCCCTTGCAGCCACGTGTGGAGGGGCCGGGAAACCCTGGCTCATCTGCTGCTCAAATCCTTTCCAGAGGTTTTCTGGCAGGGTGGGGACAAGGGTGGAGTTCTCCCTTGATGCGCCCAGCCACTTCCCACATCTCTGTGCCAGCCCTTTGCAACCTGTGGTGCCCATGTCGAGGTCCAGCCTGTCCCCACAGTCGGCGGAGTGCAGGACTCAGCCCTTCCTGTTGTGTGCTCCTGGTCCTCTGCATGCGGACTACTGCTGCCCGCCCCCTCCCCCCACTCCCTGAAGGGATTCTGGGCCTCCTGCTAGAGTCTCCAAGGGAAAGGGAGGATGCTGTCATCTCTCAGAGGCAGAGCAGGGGACTCATGTGATTTCTTTACTTAGCCCCCTGCCGTCCCCCGTTGACTATAAGAAGGAAGCAATACTCTTAAGACTTGATGAAGGGGTAAACTGAGGCTCAGGGAGTTGGCCCCAAACTCTTGCCCAAGGCCACACAGTGAGGAAACAGCAGAGCTGGTACTGCACACACTGTCTGTCTGTCCGTCTGTGTCCTTGCCCACTGGAGACAGTGCCACAGGCCCCAAAGCTGGCAGGCCTCACACTTTCGGGGCTGTGCAGGGAGCTCCCCTGGAAGCATGGCCCTTCTCTCTGGATGCCACCATCAGTAGCTCCTCAAGGCCCACAGATCCAGAAGCCCCTCCTCAGCCCCCAACACAGCCAGCAGGGCAGCCCCCACCCAGCCTCTCACCTCTGCCTCTGTCTGCAGGGGCGTCTCCTGGAAAAGCCATCTTCTCCCCAGGCGAGCACTTCAGGGCCCCAGGGAAGATGCTCCCGGCCTGCTCCCCAGACCCTGGGGCCCTGCCTCCCTCCCTCCCTGGTACAGGCCCACCAAGGCCAGGAGGGGAGAGGAGGGTTTCCTGCAGCCCCTCCCTGCCGCAACCCGCTTTCTGCCAGGGGCTCAGGCTGGGCTGGGATTAGCCTCCTTCAGCCAGCCAAGGCGGCCCACAGGCTGCTTAGCCTCAGGCTCCTAGGGCTGCTGGGCTCCCATGGGTGTGTGTACCCTTGCATGAGGGCAGCCTCCAAGACCCATGGGATGGCAGTCAAGGCCAAGCAGGGACTCAGACTTCCAGAGGATAAAAGTCACACTGGCTTCCCAGACTTCCCCTGTCTCCATGGACAGGGCTGCCTTCTAATCTTGTGGCCACCCACGTCTGCCCACTATGCTCCCCTTGACCCATTTGAACACCTCAGGGACCAAACAGGACTGGGATGCCCAGCAGAGGCAAGTTCAAGAGGCCCACAGAGTCTGTTGGGTCCCTGGTCTTCCAGCTCATCTCAGGCCAGTGTTTAAGTGGAGCTCAGGCTTAAGATGCAGTGGACCGGGAGAGTTCCATGCGAAAAGGCTGGCTAGAGCCCCAGGCCCCTAAGCCTCAGAAGTGAGCCCCATGGGAATGGGCAGCAGCTTCACCAGGCCTGCCAGGGAGCCGGGACCTGCCTCGGGCTGGCTGGGATCGGAGCTGCGCAGGTGGGAAGCTGGGAGGGGGAGGGTTCTGCAGTCCTTGGAAGAGCCAAGGCTGGCGGCCCCTCCATAGCCACCCCAGAGCCCCAGAGGCTGTTCTGACCCAGAGCCATGATGGGGCGGGAGAAGAAGGCAAACGGCAGAGGAGGCAGCTGGGGTGGTTTCCAGGAGTCTAGAGTCCCAGAAGGGGCTTCTGGCTGTGGGTTCCAGGTCAGGGAGGGGACCTTCCGGCCTGGAAGGGGACCTGGGGAAGGAGGAATGAAGCACAGCTCCCACCCCTCCAGAAGAGGTGGCCCCAGGCCTTCCCCAGGGAACCTTGGGAAGCTGGTTCTTTCTGGAAGGCTGGAGAAGGGCCTGGCCATGGGTCCTGGAGGCCACTTAGGCCAGGCTGGCCTCAGGCCAGGAGGACTGAGCCACGCGCCCTCCCCACAGTGCAGTCCCTCTGCACGCCCCCCCGAACTGGTCCCTCTAAGACTTGCAGAAAGGGCTCTGAGTGGCTGAGCCGTGGCCCCTGCTCTCCCAGCCCAGCATCTGAGCAGAAGAGGACAGGTGCTGGGGCACTGACCGCCCCAGGCCCCGGCCAGCAGGATCCCAGGCTGGGCTGCCTTCTGAGGGAGCCGGTGCCCACCCAGCGGCCTAAAGCCCAAGGCAGGGTGCCCTGGGAAAGCCACCATCACCCCCAGCCCCTCGGTGTGAGCAAGACCCCCTGCTGGTGTGTCCCCACCCACCAGTGTGGTTCCACGCCTGTCGGGGGCTTGGCGGTGGGCCTGGACGCTAGGGGAGCAACGTGGGGCAGGGACCAAGCTCTCCCGCCCACAGATGAGTGGGAGGAGGTCGTGGTGGGCATGGGAAGACCTTTCCAACAATCAGGGGTGTTGGGGGGTGAGCAAGGCAGGGGAGGGGCCCTGGAAGGTGGGGCGCCAGGGACCCCAGGGCTGGGGCTAGGCCTGCGGGTGGGGCGTGTGCTGGGGATTCTGTGGGCCGAAGATGGTGGGGGCTGGGCCCGGGAAGCACGGGAGACGACAGAGCGGGAGGTCCCCATCCCACCTCTACACAAGGTGGCAAGGACTCAGAAGCCCTTGCTGAAGGCTCTGAGTGCTAACTGTCAAGTGTGAACTCATTACAAACCCCTCCTCTGGGGACTTGGCGCTGTCACTGGAAGGGACACGCTATAGCTTTGTTTGAGTGACTCTGGAATGTTGCTAAAGACAGGAAACTCATTCTTGCCTGGGAAACACTCCCCTTCCTTTCCCAGACTCCCCATCTATGCAGTGGTAGGGTTAATGCCCACTGCCACCTGGGTCCTTGGGGCTTGAAGGTGGGCCAGGGAGGCCAGGGCTGCCACCCACAGCTGGCCAGCTTGCCATGGGAGCCCTCTGCGCTCCCTGGCTCACAACCTGCTCCCACCACCCAGCCCTGGTGGCTTGGAGGCTGCCCCGCATCTTCCTTTCAATACACCCACATGGGCTTGTCCTCAATGGCTCACTATGCTGGCCCACAGTGGCCATACATGGACATGTTCCGCACCAAGACACCCCTGCTCATATACCAGCTCTCCTGGGGTGCGGCGGGCACAGGCAGCTGGGTGTCACCAGGAGGTGCTCACCTGCACCCCTGGGCGCTGGTCCCCGGGAGCCTTTCTGGCACGGGGGCGGGGGTGCTGAGCATCTCCAGCTTGTCTCAGTTCCAATTAGTTGCTATAGGGCAGAGAGCTGGCAGGACAGGGAGGGGCGAGAGCACAGAAACAGGAGCCCCTGAGGATGGGACCTGAGCAGTCTGGCGGCCAGGACAGCAGAAGAGAGACCTGCCTACCAAGACAGACCACTGGAGACTGATGTGTCCTGTGCCCTGCAGGTCCCTCGGTCCCCTGCTCTGCTCAGCAGGCACTCAGGCACCCAGCCCTGCCCACAGGGCAGTGAGGGGGCGCTCCCCTCCCTGGGCCTTCCAGAGCACTCCCTCTCCTGGGTCCCTTGGCAGGCCCCTCTGGGACCCCAAGCCAGGTCCGCCCTGGGGAATATGGCACAGTTGCCTGATTTTCTCTCCTTCCCTTCCCCATCCATTCTGAGTCCCAGTCCAAGGGGGTCCTGGAAAACAGACAGGGCTGAGCCACCCAGGCAGCCCCAGTCAGGGCCCTTGCAGCCAGGGCTCCCAGGACCCATACTTCTCACAGAGGAAGTACAGGCAGGGCATTAACCTGGGGGTGAGTAAGGAATATCTGGGCAGGGTGCCTGGGGCAGGCCTGGGAAACCAAGTCTCTCAGCCCATGCTAAGGACTGGCCTCGGGCAGTGCAGCGGAGGACTGCTCCTGGGTGCTGAGCTCGGTGGGTGCTGGGCAGTCCTCCCTGACCCTACCCAACCCGGGCCAGGTGCCAAGCCCTGGAGCAAGGAGGCGCCTGGGCAGAGCAAGGCTGAGGGAGTGGAGCATGCGCCTGGGACTTGCAATGATGAAACATGGCCGTTGGCAAAGCTGGGGTGCCAGTCACCCAGCCACGCTCTAGAGTGGCAGCCAAGAAGACGGACCCCAAGTGGGAGGCAGAGAGACAAGAGCTGGATGAAGCAGAGCAAGGTCAGAAGGGAGAGGGAGAGGGAGAGGGAGAGGAAGGGGTGAGGGAAAGGTGCCTGGAAGGTGGTGAGACGAGGCAGAAGCCTGACAGGGACCAAGGGGACCGCAGGGTGGCGATGAAGGGGCATGGATCAGCAGCCTACAGAGAGCACTGGGGAAATCTGTGGACACCCTCGGGGGCACTGGGGACAGCAGGACCAGGGCTTGGGATAGCGGAGGCAGCAGAGCCAGAGGCATCTCTGGATTGCTGAGGGGGCAGCTTGAGGCCAGCAAGGGGACAGTGCGGACAGCGCAGGGCGGGAGTGGGCCTGGCTCAGGAGCCCTACCTGGAGAGGGGAGGCACCAGGCTCAGGCTGGCTAGTTGGCGGGCTGGGGTGGTGGGCCGTCCGCACGTCTGTCTGTCCGGTCTGTCCGGTGGACCGAAAGCAGCTACTCACTCCTGGGCAGTTTGTGGAGAGAGGGAGACAGAGGCGGCGGGAGGGAGGCTAAAGGCTGGGCAGGCGGGCCGACGGGGAGGGGACAGCGGGGAGAGGGCGGGGAGGGAGGAAAAAAGGGAGGGGGCTGGGGGGGCGGAGAGGGCGGGCGGGCAGGAGGGGGCAGGCTTCCCGGCCCCCCTGGCAGCTTCAAAGGGAGCAATTTTCTTGTAGACGGCTGGACTAGCTGAGCCCCCGCCCCCTCACCCCCTCGCCCCCACCACCTCCCCATCCTCCTTCCCCCGCCTGGGGCAGACAGCAAAGGAACGGACACACTCACACTCACTCAAACAAGGACCCAGAGAGTCAAACTTTCCACTGCCCAGATGGGGACACTGAGGTGCTGGCTGGCATCTCGCCAGGTAGAGGAAAGCGAGATGGAAGAAAGACGAGGGGGAGGCGGCCTTGGGCTGCTAGGCCGTGAGTGGCCCCTGGAATTTGGTCCTGAGCCTGCTGGGAACCTGCTTGGGCCTAAGCAAGGAGGTGGTTTCTCCAGGATCAGAGAGGTAGCTGTTGTGGATTTCTGGAAGGACTTCATGTAGGCTCCTGGCCCCTGTACCCTCCCTTCCACCCCAGGCTTTCTTCCCTTAAAAACAGGGCCCAATCCGTCTGGTGGTGGCAGGATGGGGCAAGGGGCTCCCTAGCTTGCCTGCCGTGAGCTGATTCAGAGACGAAGGATCCAGCGAGCCAGTCTTCTTGCTTAATCTCTGCAGGTCCCCACAGAGAACCACTCTGTGGGTGGCCACTTCCTCTGGGCTCAACCCTGTGCCGGTCACTTATGGGGGTAACCAGGTTACCCCACCAAGTCTCGGCCACTTCCTGAGGGCCCAAATGAGTCCAGTTCCTCCAGTGTCTAGAGCCCAGGTCCTTAGTACGACACTGCCCCCTTGTCCCATAGCGTCCCCTTCTTCCCTCAGCAAGAGCAACTCCTGAGACAGAAGGGTAAGGGTTTAGATGGAGCGAGAAACTAAGATCTCCAATAGAACTAGGGGCCAGGAGTGCAGAAGACCCAAAGAGAAAATTGCATATTGAGAGAAAAAGCTCGAAGGGGTCGAGAGGGAGAGAGGGGTGGCTAGAGAGAGGCGGCATCCAATGAAAAGAGGACAATGTCGAGGGCTGACGTGGAAAACCAGGGGCCAGGCTGGTAACCCTGGTTGCCTCTTGATTTCGTGGTTGGAATGAGGAGATTGGAGACAACGTACGCCCTTTCCAGGCAAAGGGGCTGGCTTGTTTGGTTCCATTCATTTGAAATGTCCACAAAAGGCTCATCTGTGGGGACAAAAAGCAGATTTGTGGGCAGTGGGTGCTAGGGGATGATAGCTAAAGGTATGGGTTTTCTTTTTGAGGTAATGAAAATGTTCTACAATCCACTGAGTGATGGTTGCACAGTTCTGTGAACAGACCAAATGAAAACCCTTGCCTTGTCCATGCTTAATGAGCAAATCGTGTGCTAAGCACAGTCGCTCTCAGCAAATCCGTTTCAGAACAAAGGAGAAATCCACTCAAGGCATGCCTGCTGCCCAAGGTGCTGGTACCCAGTCCCTTCCTGCACTGCTTGAGGACTGAGAACCCAGGAGCTGTCACTCAGGGCCTCAGCCTCTAGGAGACCCATTGGGGGTGAAACAGCTCTGAATACCTTGGGGGCACAGGGTCATGCACAGTGCCATAGGCTCAGGAGGGCTACCTGGAGGAGGTGACCTGCAGCAGACCAGTAGGGAAGAGGGATGTTGCCGGTGGAAGGAAGAGCACACGTGCGGGGGGTGTGGGGAGACACAGCCCTGCACCAACCTCACCCTCAGGTTTCAGCCAGGCATATTCCTGGAGGGGGCTTGGAAGTGGCGATGAGGCGACACCCTGCTTGGGGGAGACACATAATGCATGCATCTTGCAGCTCTTACCTGAAGTTGGGGGCTGCTTCTGGGGGCAATACTTATATAAATACGGTCCTTGTGCCTGGAGGGTTCTTGTGTCTGTGGTTTGCAGTCTGCAATAAGCCATAACTGCATGCCCGGCCCAGGGCCCACTGAGTCACTCGGCCTGGGCCTCTAATTTGGGGGCCACTCCCAGACCAGCCAGGCAGTACCTTAGTCTTAAGGGCCTCCCCCTTCTGCTCCCCCTCCCACTCCCCCCTCCTCAGGCCTGGGCTCTCTCTGCAGCGCAGAAGCAACTTTGATCCCAGCTGAAGTGCTCTAGGAACAGCGCTTCCTTGCTGGCGAGCAGAGTGGGCAGTCGGGCAGCCTTCTGCCCTTCTGGCCTCTCAGGGCTGGGAGGAGGCAGGGGGAGGCAGGGGGAAGCAGGGGGAGGGCAGGCACCGGGGGCACAAGGCAGGAAGGAAGAGCAGGCATTTCCTGAGGCCCCCAGGGCTCCTGGGGAGGAGGCGGACACACAGCTGTCTTAGCTCCCCAGGAACCAGCGGCAGACAGGGCACAGGAGATGGGGGAAGTAGAACCTGGCCCCTTCCAGCATGGCCTGTATGTGACCCTGGGATGCCACTGCACAGGCCCCCTAGGCCCTAGCTGGGATGCTTCCCCCAAAAGGCTGTAGAGGGCCGGAAGGTCCTGCTGGCACCAGCTTTGCCTTGCATCTCAGCCCGGGAGACCCCTTCTCCTGCCGGATGGAGCTGAGAGCTCAGTTCTCTCCACCTGACAAGGAGCCCACCCCCCTCAGCTGCGTGGGGAGGGCAGCCCTGGGCAGCCTGCTCAGGCTTCCAGGGAAAGCTGTCTTGCTCTGGCAGTTGCCCCTGCACGGGGCCCCAGGCCATACTGTGGTCTCCCTGCTCTGAGCCTAACTCTCGTCTAGCCCTCATCAGGCAGCTGCCACCCCAGCCTGCCCAGGTCAGAGCCCAGGACAGGTGCTGGAAGGTAGCAGGTGGGGCGGCAGCCACGGGATGGAAGGATGGGACAAGGGCATGTCTGAGGGAGGGAGAGGGCCACGGAGGAAGGGGGCTGGGAGGAGGGGAGGCAGGGCGCAGGGATCTGAGCCAACTGCCATCTCCTTGGCCAGTGTGGGAAGAGGACCTGGAGTCAACTGCAGCCTGTCCCCCACAGCTGGCTCGCAGCTGTTTGTGTCCTGTCTTCAAAGCTACAGCAGGGAGGCCCAGGAGAGAAGTGGGGTGGGGGTGCCCAGAGGGCAGACTGTGAGCCCTCTGGTCCCATTTGGGCATGAAATGCTGGCGGATGGTGTGAGTCCCAGAGGGCAGAGCCTAGGAGCCTGGGAGGTGGGTGGTCTCTTATGCAAGGACCCCTACAGAGGTGGGCTGCTTGTTTCATGATTCTCCAGGGTCTGCCCTGCTCCCCAAGTGTGTCCAGCGGGCCCTCTTCTCTGTGGGTGGCTGCTTCTCGAATCCTTCTGCCTGGACACGAACTCCCCCGCCCTTCCAACCTGACGGTGTGAACAGAAGGGCCCATGCCTGTCTTGGGAATGGGACAGAGAGACAGAGGGAGAGCCGAGAGAGCTGGGCTAGAGAGCTGCAGTGGGCGAGGCAGACGGGCAGCACTCCCATCCCCTGGACCATTAGCAAGACCCTCAAGAAGCAAGGAGGTGACAAGTGCTATGCACCCATACAAGACTGGGGGATCAGAGAGAGCGTCTAGAGGAGGAGGCAGTGCCCTGAGGCTGCCTCTCAGTCGCTGGGGAGTAGCTCTTGCAGAGCCTCAGCCTCCAGGACAAATTCCCATCCAGAGACCTGTCACTCACACATCGAGGTTACCTCTTGAGCAAGTGACCCTGCCCAGAGCGGCCCCAAGTTTATGGCCTTGAGTGGGCCTCACTCCCAGTCTGCGGGCTTCGTCCGTTCCCAGTGTCGGCACCCTCAGGGGCAGACACCAGTGGGCAGCCCCACCACCACTCAAGGGTCTCTGGATGACCTGCAGCCTCGAAGCAACATGAAGCGGACGCTCAGCGGGGCCCTCTGGGTTCAGAGGGCGGGGCAGTCATGGAGGAGGCTTGTGTCAACATGCCCCGGATCAGCCGAGCTGGTGCTGAGTGAGCGGAGCCTCCACTATATGGAAGCTTCCCAGTGCTGGATGGCGGAGGTGTGGCTGGTGAAAGCTGGCACTCTCCATGCCAGGAGCTTTTTTTGACCTTCCCCTGAGGACATAATCACACAGCATCTCTCCCCTCTGGGCCACCAGGGCTGTAATTTCAGGGCCTGCATGGGGGCTCCGGGGAGGCCCAGCCTGGGTCTAGCTATCTTTAGAGAGGCATAGTCTGGGGCGTGGCCAGAGGATGGAAGATGGGTTGCCTTGGAAGCCGAAGCCTGGGAGCCAGAGGCCAGGGGCACTCTAGGACCCCTGTGGTCTTCCCTCAGGGAGGCCAAAGCCCAGGAGCAGCACCGGGAGGCTCTGGCGGGAGTGGGGAGGGGCTGGGCCGTGTCCTGAACCCTGACTTCAGCTCAGAGCAATCTTTGGCCCAGATGCTCAGAAGATGGGGTGGGATAGCACTTGGCCTGAGGGCCGGACAGCTTAGCATCTCCCCGTGTGGCCATGGTGGCAGCTATTATTGGGGGCAGGGGGTGGACGGTGGCACAGCAGGTGAGATGCTTGTGTTAGACCGGAGGGAAGGCTCAGAACAGAATGTGGAGAAGGCGAGATGCGGGTCCGTGGGGGGCCAGTGAGGGGCAGTTGGAGAAGAATTTGGAGGCTGATGGGCAGTTTTCTGGGACTGCAGCTGGCAGAGGCGGTGCAGAGGTGCAAGGTCCCACCCAGGTCTCAGGCCGGAGACACAGGCCCAGCCCCAGGCAGGGCATGGCTCCCGGCCCCCATTCTCCACCCCTCTGAATTGTGAGCTGTCCCCACTGTCCTTACCCTCAGTCCCACCCCATCACCTCAGCATCCCCATCGCCATCTGAGGACTGATGAGCGCCTCCCTTCTGACCCCAGTCACACCTACCCTGTTGCCATCACTGCTGCAATTGTCACTGCAATGTTCCCTCAGATGCCCAGCACTTTGGGGTCACCGATTGGGCTGCGCCCACTGCTGTACCCTCAGATGGAGCCAGCAGCTACCCCGAAGAGGAGCACAGTAACCACAGCGAAGGTGGGAGTGAGTGGTTGTTGGAGGGTGGCCCGTGCTGAAGGAGGGGCAGGTGCAGGGCCACGGCTGGGCTGCCCTTGCTCTTGGGTTGGGGCTCTGTCTAGAAATTCCCTTCCGGTGGC